CAATTATTTAGTGCTGTTGTAAATTATGTAATAACATTTTTTTGTTGCTATATATTTTTGAAAAATAGCTATATTCTGTAGCCATCAATTACGTTGTCGTAGCCTTAAATTGGTGCTACTTGATGATGTGTTGCAGCAGTGGTATTGAGTTATGTATATATGATTTATAGCTTTTTTTTTGTGATATCTAGTGAGTGTACATATTTCATATGCTATTTCGCCCAATAAAATAGATTTTACAAATACAATAAATGGTACACAAAATGCTCAAAAATAAATAAACAAAGACTGAAACTTCATAATAGAAATACCATATCATAATTAAGTTCAAAAGTAAGAACACAAGTGTCACTTGCACTAAGTACCATAAGTTCATAACTTCTAAAGCAATGAAAAGAGAAGACCATACGTTCCTATTCATCCTCACACGATGACAACTTTGTCTTCAGGCCACGCTATAGTGGTACCAATAGCATCCTCCATACACTCGATTGCAGATGTAGGCCTCCAAACCATGGCATCATCCACCTTGAGTACATCAAGCCACACACGAACAGCATTTTTTCCCAAAGGAACAAAATGCACTAACTGTTCTGGGTTGTTTGAAGACCAGCGTCCTTCTGCAACAACAACTTTCTGACCGGTAATGTCTAGCAGTTTGCATTTATGACCTTCTTTCACAATCTGTGTATGAGAATGATGTCCATTAGTATAAGACATAGGAAAGAATTACCAACTTTATTAGATATATCAACACTACTTACCTTCCGAGAGCTTGAAGGAGTGTGTGCCACTGGTTTTGAAATCTTAGCAGGAGCCGGTGGAGTGTGTAGTTGTGAGTGCCTAAGAGGAGATGCTGTAGCTGGTGACTCAGTGTCGAATAAAACTCTGCTGACAGGCCATGCTACATACGACTTCAAACAATCACCAAGGTTTGAGTGTTTTTCTGTTAGCCTCCAAAGAAAAGTCTGAGGTAACGTGACCGCATCTACATATACTTTCACAGCATTTGGTCCAAGAGGAAGGCCATCCACGAAGGCTTTGGGATCACGACTCTCCCAACGACCTTCAGCAACTGTT